AGTTTTAAATATTTATTAGGCCGTAGAAGCGGCGAGCTCTTCCACGACAAAGAACAGCCAAATGGTAATGAATCTATATGCTTCTTCTCATCTGTCTTTTTCCAGATTTTAATGCGATTTAATTGTAATGCGTTTCTCGAAGCACCGAGCTGCAAGTCGCGATAATTTCAGACAGCTTTACATTTTAAATGACTACGTTTTAAAGACTACGTTTTAAAAACTACGTAAACGTCCACAATCGATGCGATAAATGTATTATTGCTCATTATTTATTTATTTATTTATTCATAGATGAGCACAACATATAAAATACTATAGGCCATTATTGCAGTTATTAATCAATGTCTATTTCCTTCTCGTCCCGTGGAGTATCGCGATGAAGCCACGTTGCATCTGATATACATAATCGCTCCCGTTGCCTTATCTCTTTCTCTCGTAACGCGGGTCGGCCAATAGAGAGCAGATTAGACGAAGGGCAACATGCTGTTCTGGTATCACGCGCCGCGTAACAGCTTCCTCGACATTGCTCGCGTACACGCCATAACGCGAATCCCCTTTAATGCCGACGCGAAATTTACAACGCGGAAATAGGCGCGGCCGGAACCGGCTGGTAGCTCATCGAAACGGGGATAATATCGAGCGGGTACACCTGTCTATCGAAACCGAATTAAAGCGCGACACACGGTGTGATAAGTGGGCGATTTGAAGGGACATCGTTCTAATTTTGTTAGATAAATATTTAATTAATATGTAATAGTTTTATAGCTAAAAAAATTGTTATACAAATATAATTATCTAAAAAAATGTAATAATCTTTTATATTATAATAAATGTACTTTTTTAATATATAGATTAATTACTTTAAAATACTAGTGATCGTTAATTAATAAGTAATATTCTATTCTATAATGCATATGAATTTTTTTATTCTCATATAATTTTATTCTTATTCCATAATTGTAGATAATTATTGAGTTTATGAAATGGAAAAATCATTTGAAAGTACGCTATAATTTTTAAAATAACAGGAAAAGATTTATTTTGTATAGATATATATTTATTTTGCAATTTCTTTATATTATAATTTTTATATTATTTTGCAATCTTTATATTATAATTTTTATATATTTTGTATAGATATTTTATATATTTTGTATATATATATATATATATATATATATATATATATATTTTGCAATTTTTTTATATTATAATTTTTATATTATTTTTTAATATTATTCATTGTTAGGAAATAGAAAGGAAATTTCCCATGTTATCTCACTGCCACATTTTACAATTATTATCTTTTAGAATTTATTATTCTTATTTTCAAAACTCAAATGTCTTGATTTATCAACATTAAAATTAGATTATATTTTCAGACACAATAACATCAATTTCGCGAAAAAATATTTTTGAAATATGAGCGAGAAATAATTTTAACCCAAGCAATAAAATCTTGATTGAGTGCATAATATCGTGTTTTTTCGTATTAATATCGAATTTTTAAATGTAATAAAATAATTACTGGAATCCCTAAAAAGTTATTAACTATTTTTTACAATCTGTCGAAACTAATTTAATAATTATTTAATCAAAACAATCAGTCGTGCAATTATTAAATAATAATTCAAAATTTATCTTAACAAAATAAAAATTATTTTCCTTCAGATCGCTCACGTGTCACCGGTGAGAATTACTGGGAATACTGGGATGAAAGAGATCGGCCGTGTCTGTCCATTGTCTCAATTCCTATCGACTTTCTATGTGATACACTTGTCGCATCCGTTGCGGTATATATAATATAATTACAGGCTGTACCACCTTATATCTACAGTCTGATTTTCGACCATATTCCTGTTTGAGAGCTGGGAAAGAGGAGAGAGAGAGAGGGGGGGGGGAGAGGAACGAAAGACGTCGAGACGCTAAGGTTGACGGAAATCGCGTAAATGCCGAATTTCGGTTCCGTCATTTCCCCTTCCTTCCTCTTCTTCCTTCCCAGCTAAAGATGAGATCATTGTGCTGTGAACGGCGACATGCGTTTGACACGCCTAAGTACATATCGTTGGCAATGGTTTAATTACGCGAAAATTACAACCGTTCACAGAGATGACACACGTGAGTTCGTGACAATAGTAATGTATTCCGTGTGAAAACAAAGGAGGGTTTGTGACTTTGTAGAAACGTTGCTCGCGAGATTTCAGAATTTCACCTGCACATGATATTATTATGTTAGAAAATTATTTATGCGTTTATAATGCAATTATTACTAGATAAATAGTAATACATATTTTACAATAATTATTATTACATTATATATTATTGTATTATGTTATTATGTTACATAATAATTATTATGTATAATTTATTAGATAATAAATTATATAATAGATTGTATGTAATAATTATATGACAAACTTGTAATTCATCTATAATTTGGCAATTTTCTCATTGTTGTAATTATTTATACAATTCATTATTCACTTTCAATATTGCGATCTTACAATTAATTTACATATTTATTTTATATGAGGAAGAATTAAATTTTTCTATAACAATATAAATTTTACAAGATCGATCATTGTTATAATTTCATTACATCGCGTATCGTATAAGCCAGATTTTTACGATTCAGCGACAATGTTTTGTTTCTAAAAAAATCAATATGCATAAGAGAAAGGGATAATTTAATTATTGACCGTATTACGCTCATCAATGCATCGATGCACGCGGTTGCAGATTAGTTACATCTCCTTTAGAGTTATTACGAAGCTGTTAGTACGCCGAGATGGGTCATGTGCATCAGATTCTACCCCGTCCAAGTGCCTGTTTACAGTGATTAAATTATGCTCACGTTGCCGTTACACGTGCTCGTGCTAACGTGTCTACCTACAACGTGACGCGTTTCCTAGCTGTAGAGAAGAGGGAGAGTTGCACGAAATAATGCACGTGTGCTTCGCAACTTGTCGTCTATAACAGTACTGTCTCTAAATGTATACATAATACGCACATTAAAAATATACCCTCTTTAAGTCGTTTAAATAGTGAAAGCAACACTGCTACGAAGAATATCGATTGTGTAAATATTGAAATAATAAAATTGAGATATAAAATAATTTATGAAAATCGAGTTAAGAATTCATGAAATCACATTGAAATGACATTTTATTCTCCATAAATAATTTTAAGAGAATAATTTTAATTTTTTTCTTCTTTATTTAAAATATTATATATTATATATAGACTTTGACCATATTTTTTAATTGTAACATAAATTAAGAAAATAATTTATTTTGCAGAAATAGATGAGGAATACTATTTTCAATTAAAGTTAAAATAAAAAAAATTTTTTTAATATTTAAAATAAACTAAATTTTTTTCTATTAAAGTAAAAGAATAATTACATTCACAGTGCGCGATGCGATATTCACGGGTGATGGGAGGTTTGTAACAGACAATATTTTTCCATCTGGTTAATTTATACAATTTGCAAAATTCTGTTCTAACTCGATAGAATATAGTCGACGCTCGCGCATGTTAATGTTTGTTGACCGTTGTCTCAAATTTTAGTGGTCCTCTGACAACCTCGGTAATTATCAAACAGTGCATGTCGCTTGGTAATTTCCACTACTTTACATTCTACTATTTTTTCCATCAGCAAAATCTCAACGCATACGCAACACGTATAATATATTTCGAAAATCATATAATTTCAAGTTGTAAAATTTTTGCTGATTTAAAATTGATAACCAAATGAATGTATGTGAACATTTAATTGGATTTTATTGTTTTTTTATAAAATATTTTAATTCTTGATTAAAAAATATTGTAAAGTTTGTGTGTATATATGTATATATATTTTAATATATATTTAAGATGTATATAGAAAGCAATTTATTTTTAATAGGGATTCTATGATTAACTTGTAATTGACTCTGTTGTAGATTTCGAGAAAAATTACTTATATTATCAGTAATTTTTCAACAGATTTGTAATTAGCGTTTATAACTTTATTTTTTATTGAAATAAAATTAAAGATGATTTTATTCTGAGATTGAATCGAAAATAAGATTTTTCTGGAGCGCTTTTAATTTGTATGACACTATAAAATTTTTTGATCTTTTATAAAAGCTATTTAAAATGCCTTCATATTTTATTAAAAGGGAAAAACCTATTTCATCGATTTTTTTTTTTAAGTAAAACGTATTTGCGAGCAACGTAAATTGGTATGTTGAAACTCGCTTTGCGGGTAAGGAGCTATTTGTAGCGGTAGTAACTCGTTAAAAATCTCATTACCAGACGTATTTAAATCGCCAAAAATTACCGACCGTGGAACATAGGGATTACATTACTGCCGAGAAGAGTTAATCGCCACGCCATTCAAATGGAGGACTTTAAATGAAAGATAAGGTATAACATGATACACGTAATATGATTATCAGCTTTGAAGCTCATAAAAATTTCACGCACAAAAAACTGAATGACATTAATAATGAAAATTAAGATATCAATGTGTTAATTTCATTTCTTATACTTTCTTTCCAAAATGTTCTCGCCTCGAAACAAGCGGATAAATTATGAATATTTTTAATTTGATTTTGAGAAATATATACACGTATTGCTTGAAATGAATAAATACAATCTCTTTTTTAATTAATAATATTTAATTAATATCCTTAAAAATAAAGCTGCATAATAATTATTAATTTCATTAATAATATATAATTAATATTTAAAAATAAAGTATAATAACCAATTTTATTGCGATTAAATAACAGATAGTTTCTCGAGGCCTGAATATAATAAAAATTCAAGAAATAATTCGGTTACAAAAACCAAATATCAAAAGAAATGCTTCCTCTTCTATATGAGATTCAAAAATTGATAACTTTTTGAAAAAAGATTTTAAATATAAATTTGTTTTGCAAAGAGTGTCTAAAAAAGAGAGTTTAACAAGCCTCTTAATTAATTTTTATTCTTTTTTCTCGCTCGCAACTTACCGCGCTGCCAAATTGGAGTGCTGGCTGGATTGCTGTCTACCTCGCATTTCAGGCTGACAGACATCCCCTCGACGATCGGAATTCCAAAACCAGGTAAACGCGTTATCGCAAACGATGGAGTATCTGAAACAGGTATTAAAGCAATTAGTGTCAATGCCACAACGTCAATGCAATTTACGTGTCTCTGTGGTATCACAAAAACGTAAAAAAAAAGAGCATGAATGTTACTTGAACATGCTGTGCATGTTGCACAATAAACAGATCAGATTTAGAAATCATGTTTAATATAAATAACGCCTCCATCGCGTCTTTGCAGCTCGAGTCTCGAAAATAATAATATATAAAATATAAATATATTTTAAAATATACACTTTAGGAACTATGACATCGCAACACATGAATTATGATACGTGATTGGTCCTATTTTTAGTTATTCCATTTTCTCGAAAAATTCTTAAGATTCTTCTTAACTAAATACAATTCAATCTAATAAAATTTAAAGTGAGAAAACAGCGTCGTTTAATAAGCAATTCGAAAGATCGTAGTGATTGCGAATTGCATTCTTATTTTGAGGACAATAGCAATCTTGCGAGCTCCGTAATTCGTAATTTTCGAATAAGATCTCCGCGCGATAATCCTGAAATATATTGGACAACATAATCTGTTTTCTATGCATTTGAAAATTATTCTTTGCAGGAAAAGGATTTTTTCTACGGAAATATCAGTTATTGATTATTCAATCTAATGCATGAAAATAACCAATTTTAGAATAAAAATTGCAGATGTAAAAAGATATAAACTACTGATAGAGAATATAATACAATAATAAACAAATCTATCTTGCAGCTGATTTCACTCTTTATTGCAGTAAATTATTGCTTAAAAATACGAGGCAAAATTATTTGTAAAATTATCTACAAAATTTATAGATATATTTTTTGATAAAAAAAGCTAAGGGATTAAATTATATAAATACAGATTTAAATTATGTGGAGATTTGTAAATTAACTCTACTGACAATAATGTAAATGTAAAATTTAAATTTACATTTTTTATAGTGCAATGCAATATATTGAACAAATTATTATGCTATTCACAGGTATATTATTGCATTCATTCAATTTATAAAAATGTGATTTAAATGTACGCGTTATACGTTTCAATAAACAAACAATATATATATATATATATATATATATATATATATATATATATATATTTAGATCACCAATGTATTCAATTTACTCAACGTTTTAGCAACATATAAAATTTTTATTATAAATGTTTAAAATTATTCCGCATAAATCTTTTGTCTTATACTCCATGGAATGCTTATTTTCACTATGAAAATTCATTGTGACCTGCTTTCGCAGAGTTCACTTCTCGAATATAAACCAGCTTCTCGCTCAGAGCAACATTATGCGCAGCGATATAACTTCACATCACTAAATATATATAGCGTAAAGAAGAGAAATAAAGAGAGAAAATGAAAGAAAAGAGTTGAGCGAGAGAGAAAGAGAGAGAGAGAGAGAGATGTGAAATGAAACGGAAATTCGTTATAATGAAGAAGCAAATCCCAAGAGGAAATATAATTGAACGCATCAAGTGCCTCTAGAAATCAAATGTAATCGTCAGAAATGACGCGTTTCTCTTGTTATCCCCGGTAATCATTCCTCTCCCTCTCTCTCTCTCTCTCTCTGTCCTTGTCTCTTCTACATCCCTACTTCCTTCTCGCATCATTAACGACCACTGTGGATCCTGGTGACGCGATTTGGACGTATCCTGTCGGTATGTAAATATAAGTACGACAGTCGAACGCGTTCAAGGGGGTTGGCAAGAGTGACCAAAGAGGAGAGCGAGGGAGGCGGGATTAAAATGGTCGTCAAACAAACGAGGTATAGATACGACGTAGTAATTAACGAACGGAACAGTCAAGGTTTTACGGGGGTCGTACTCGTTAAAAGCCCCAACTGTACCACCGCTGTCGACGACGCCGGATGAATTGGACTCCGAAAAGCACTCCACGCGTTCCGATCCCAGAGCACACATCGGCGCCATTCGAGCGATTTGTCGTTACTGTTATTCGACTCGTTAATATCACGTCGCTGCTAACGGGATGATCGTTGAGGTTGTGGAATAAATTGAAGAAGGGGAACGAAGAAACGAGCCGTTGCAAAACGTGACGCAAAAGATGAGGATAGGATCGAAAGCGGAGAATATCGAAAGTGGGACGTGTAGGAGGAAGAATGTAGCGCCCGAGGATGGTGTGACGCGAGACAGAAAAAAATGGAGAACATAAAATGGAAGATAGAACAAGACAGAGGGGGAGAGAGAGAGGACAAGGGCGGCATGACTACCAGGATAGCTCCAAGTTATTCACTCGGCTATAATAGCGCGGTGCTGGGACAATGCAAGCTTAATGAAAGCTCCTCTCCCCGGCGACCTCGCTCACCCTCGTCCCTCTCCCTTTACTCCCATGCTCGTCGCCAGGGCCATCGCAGCTCCGACGCCACCGAGAGAGCCGCCAGGCATGCCGCGCGATGTAGTCCCTGGGTGCAGCAGCATAAACACTAAACAAAGGGAACAATGAGACACAGAAGTGTCCCACAGACCTCGATCGCCTGATGAGAACTTTAAAGCGCCCCCGCAAACTATCGGTCTATCTTTTATTTCAGGAACAAGCGAGGCCACTGTGATCGTCTAAAACCTCTTTATCAGGCATCGTGGGATTTTTTATTTTTTTATTTTTTTCGTTAGAAATTTATTATCTAAAGGAGAGCTTTTATCAAAATTAATCCTCTCCTTTTGCTCACCGAAAGAGACATATTTTCTATCATGAAACTTATATTTAACATGTGGAGAGCAAGTTATACCATAAACCTGCAGCCCTTTCTCTCATTTAATAGACAAAAGTTATTTGTTTTTTTTTTCAAATTGTTTTATATACATATATATTTTAAAACATATTCTTCCAGATATATGTGTGCATGTCTTCTTCTGCATTTGTATCTTAACTAGCTGTTTAAGTTTGACAATAACAAGTAATGGATTGTCCGCATATTGTACAGATCGATTTGTACGGACCTTAAGACGAAATCCCATCTTTCGTCTAGAGAATGAATCTCTTCGAAAGAAATTTCTCTCGCCGTTTCAACCGAAACGCTCGTAAAGTTTATACGGACCGTTAAGCAAGGCTGTGTACGATACGCGGAGGAAAATTTTGCGAACGCATGTAGGTAGAAAACAGGTGAAATACGCGAAATACGGTGACATTATTAAACGACTGAAATTTATAATATATGTACAATTTATGTGATTTGTATACACCATGGCCTATTACAGGAAAAATACAGTTTCGAACAGTTAATTACGGGCAATGACAATTTGTGAATAGAAATAACATTAAACTATTCGACAAGATTCTTTTCCTTGTGCACGCGAGTTAAAATAAACGAATGAAGCGCGTGTTGTTAATTAGTTGTTAATTTGTTTGAAATCAACAACGAACCAATATTGACCTAAACAAGCGTAAAGAGCCATAATCATGCGTACGATGTTTAAAATAGATAGGATGATAAAAGAGGGAAGAAAATGTTGGTTAATGATTTGTGATTGCCAGCATCGCGTGATTCGCGATGTCGGCAATCACAAATCATTAACCAACTACATCATCGATATAATTATCATTACTAAGGTAACAAACCGTCATTGAGTAGCTCCTGTTGCGACGCAACCGCATTGTGATAATGTTCGCCACATATACATATTTGATACAAACAAACGGGATTCGTGTATAGAGCAAATTTGAGCTACGATAATAATGAGAACTTCGCAAAAATTGTTTGGTTACATCATGATATCATCTGTGTTCAACAATTTCTTTCTTTTCTCTTCTTCCTCTTCTTCTCGACGAATTATCTTTGACTCAAATATCAATAATTTGTACATTTTAGAAAATATATCGTTTCATGTATTTAATTTATTTTTTTTACATTTATTATTTTATTATTTCTAACAATAAATATGAAATATTACAGTTGCAGAAATTTTAAAATTTCTCAAACGGTTCTCTGCGATAATCATGTCGACAGCTTATACAAGGAAATACATTCCCCCGGCATAATTCATACGCAATCATCTGGATCGGCGACACTCGAATTCGTATTCGAGTCTCCCATTTCGTTGACTGCCAAATGCTAAACCTACGGTCGTCGAACATAACAGCAGGATACACGAAACAACCGCGGTTTACGATGGCAGCCGTTAAAGTTTAAGTCCGGTTTTATTTGGGTCAATGGGCGACGCGCGAAAATTAAACTCTCGTAATGTGTCGGCCGCACAAAGGGCTCGCATCGGTTATCACATCCAAAGAGATAGACATTGAATAACGCTGCGCGCACGGTTTTCCCATTTGGCCGTGGCACGTACACATTGCGTGACTTTATTAAACACAGCCCGTAGGGAGAGATAGACGCTCGACAAACAAGCCGGAAGACGTGAGGGATGAAAAGAAAAGACGTGAAAAACATTGCGGTGGTATTCGTGAAATACTAATATGAGAATATCAAATATATAAAAATAGAGAAAAATAGTATAATATAAATAGAAAAAAGTATAACATAGAATAAAGTAAAAATAATGTAGACTAAAAATAATATAATATGGCTCAGAGAGGAAAAATGCCTCATTCATCGCTCATATAATTAAAGCTTACTAATAAAATTATTCAAACGGGAATCGCGCTCGATGACAATACATAATTAATCTAGAAATCACACAAAAGTCTTAAAATACGATTTTAAAGATTTAAAAGAAATTACGAAATAATTTTTAAGGAAGAAAATTATAAAATTTGTTTGTAAGTATATTTAATCATTTTTTATTCCATAAAAGTAAGTATATATGTTTTCATTGTATTTTTGAAGATATAATTTATAAAATTTAATTAATGACAGCCAAGTATTTTTTCGACATACGGGTATGTATTTTTTTTAAATACAAAAGGACTCATATAAAAAGTAATGTGCTTTATTATAACATTTTCTTTATCATTTTTTCTGGCAAATTATGGGCAAAACGAATAAAAACCTACAAGGATGAAATAGACATTTCCTGAAGCAATG